ATTTTTAAAATTTTATAAAACACCTTCAAAATATGATTAGAGAATAATTATCTGCACAAATCAATTGTATTTATCTACCTCTTAAAATCATCAAACTAATTTAGATGAGGACGAAGGACGCACTGACAGCAGGACAGAAGGGAGTAATCAACCTGTGGCCAAAAAATCTATTTTAATTGAATTTTGTCAAAAAAAAAAAAATGCGTGGACAAATTCGTTCATGTGGCTGGGCCCAATTCCGAGGGTGTTCATAATGAACCCAGAACATATAAAGGAGATACTTAACAACATGCCTGACTTCCCAAGGCCCAACTCAAACCCAATAGGGGAGGTTACTAGTCACAGGAGTTGCACTTTGTGAAGGCGACAAATGGGCCAAACATCGAAAGCTTCTCAACCCAGCTTTCCGTCAGGAGAAATTGAAGGTTAGTCCTTTTTTCCACTATTTATTTATTTATTTTCTTTTTCTTTTTTTTCTTTTTTTTCTTTTTTTATGAATTGACGAAGAAACTTAGGTTCAAAATCAAGATTTTATTATATATAAATGAGTTATAATCAACTTACACTATAAATGATCTATTAGTTTGAACAAAAAGAATTTAATTTTTTTAAAATAAAGTTTTGACTTTAAATTAATTAGATACAATATAACTTTTAAATATTAAAAATTAATATGAAAAAAAAAACTTATATAACAATAAGTGTTATATTAATTTTCAATGATTTATTTTAAAATTTTGACGATCAACATAATATTTAAAATTTTAAAATAATTTTTTTAAATTTTAAAAGGCGTGACTAAAGATTGATAAAAAGTTTTTTTAAAACTTTACCAATATAAATTACTTGAAGTGATGCATGGAAATACCATTCTTTTACCCTTCTTTTTTTTTTGAGCCTTAACCCATTCTTTTACTCAATTCATGGATTTTCTTGGTAATTTTTACAGTTCATGATACCAGCATTTTACCAAAGTTGTAGCTTTATGATAGGCAAATGGGAGAAATTGGTATCTGCTGAGGGATCTTGTGAATTAGATGTGTGCCCTGATTTAGTATGTTTGGCAAGTGACGCCATTTCTCGAACCGCATTTGGAAGCAACTATGAGGAAGGAGAAAGAATTTTCAAGTTGCAACAAGAACAAGTTGAATTGATAATGCAAGCATTGGAGTCAGTTTACATTCCTGGGTGGAGGTAAGTCAACTTGGTCCATTATTCTTGTCTTTTAGGATATGATTATATTGATATATGAGGATTGGCAAAAGCCTAACTATTCTTTTCTTCATCTGCCTATCAAGCCATGTTATCCAAAAGCATACAGGTCACCGGAAAAGAAAATTCCTAATTTAACCATTATTAATTACCATCAATTTTTTGAGCTAAAATGCTAATTATGCAATTGATTGTTAACATTTGTTTATATGAAGGTTTCTTCCAACCAAGATAAACAATAGGATGAAGGAAGTTGCAAGGGAAGTAAGGACCATAATAAAAGGTCTCATCCACAAAAGAGAGAAGGCAATGAAAGCCGGTGAGGCAGCCAATGATGACTTGTTGGGTACTCTTTTGGAGTCAAATCTTAGAGAAATCAAAGAACACGGAAGAAATAAGACTATTGGAGTGAGCATGGATGATGTGATTGAAGAGTGTAAGCTATTTTACTTCATCGGACAAGAGACAACTTCCAGTACCCTCAGTTGGACAATGGTTCTATTGGCACAATATCAAAATTGGCAATCTCGTGCAAGAGAAGAGGTATTATCTATCTTTGGCAACAACAAACCAGATTTCGACAGCTTGAATCGCTTAAAAATAGTAAGTATCATGAATTTTTTTTTATTCTTTTAATAATTGAAATTCTTGTATCCTTATTCATTAGCATGCCTTTTTCTAACCGTATGAATGCCTGCCTCTGAATTTAAGTATATGTTAGCTATGATTCACCTCATTTGTTTGCCCTCCTCGTAGTAGGGGCAACCCATTCTCTATTTATGGGAAGCTAACTACAATGATGCATTCATAAGTTGATTGCCTGTGCACCAAATTGATCAATGCCTTGCTGGTTACTTAGCTCAATCATTCAAACTAATAATTTTATTTCAAGTTGCTTTAAAACGTCTAATTTTTACAGGTAACCATAATTTTGTATGAAGTTCTCAGACTCTATCCACCAGGACCTATGCTTATTCGGTCTACACAGAAGGAAACAAAGCTAGGAAATTTGACGCTACCTGCTGAGGTTCAACTTGCAATGCCAACAATTCTTGTACACCATGATCCTGAATTTTGGGGAGATGATACCAAGGATTTTAAACCAGAAAGGTTTGCTGAAGGAGTTTCAAAGGCGACGAAAAATCAAGTCTCTTATTTTCCCTTCGGATGGGGTCCTAGAATATGCATTGGACAAAACTTTGCTCTAAATGAGTTAAAATTGGCCATCGCAATGATTCTACAACGCTTTTGGTTCGAACTTTCCCCTTCCTATGCCCATGCTCCTGCCCCTTCTCTAACCCTTCGTGCACAGCATGGAGTTCATTTGATCTTGCATAAAACCTAGCTCAAGCTGTATTACAATTCTAAGCAGACTTGTTAAAAAAAAAAAAAAGGAATAAACCTCACATTTACTTGTTTCGCTCTAATATCAAAGAATCTGTTTGCTACCAATAATTTAAATCATTTAATAATAATTTTTTTTATTAAAAATAAAGAATCTTATAACTTCAATTCATATGGCATGTGAATGAGATGGATTAAGAAAAAAATTATTTTTTATTGCATAATTTTAAAAAAAAGTTATATAGTTGTAGTTTTCTTAGAAGAGGTTAATGTAATAGAAACACTTGCCCCCCATCCCTTAGATTATGCTAACAGGCAAGGGAGAAAAAATGCAAATAAGGGTAGAAACCCCCATGCTACTGCCACTGTTATAACTATTCGTGCACAACATGGAGTTGATTTGATCTTTGCATAAATTCTCAAGCTGTATCGTAATTCTAATTAGACTTAATAAAAAATCAAAAG